TGTGCGAGTGCTTCTCGGTCCTCTGTGACCTCTCTACTCATAACAAGGTATACCTACATTGGGTAGCTGGACACATGGGCATTCTTGGAAATGAGCTAGCCGATGAAGCAGCACGGGCTTGGGAATATCTTCCACATCATTCAGAGCATCTATATTCAAGCTCTATGGCAAAATTACTCATCAGCAATGGCGTAAATCGGATGGTCAGAGACAAGCTAAAGAGCTAAATCGTAACTGTCCCTAGTGTGCGTCAGAAAGAATTTCTTAAGCTAAACAGGAACAGTTTGAGGAAGATCATTGGTCGTCTCACTGGACACTGCACGCTCAAGAGACACCTGTACATAATGGGTATTGAATCTGATTCTCTTTGTCGAGGTTGTCATCTTGGGGAGGAGACTTCACGATATATACTTAGTGATTGTGAGATCCATTCTGTTCAAAGATTTGAGCATTTAGGGCAACATTGCATCAAAGCCTGAGAACTACAAGAGTCCAGTAAGTTGTTTGCTGAACTTTATTTCAGCTACAAAGCTTTCTTGTTAATCATGATTTAGGGTTCGGGTGCAATAGACCTCTGGTCGATGTGCCCTACTCTTTGGCTATTACAGGCTATGTATATATAGCTTGTAATTAGAGCATCAGAAAAAAATATATATAAAAGAGACACAGGTGTCCCATCTGCGACAAAGGGTTAAATAAATCTTGAATCTAGTTTAATTAAAACATTGCCGAATAAATATTTTTGCATATTATTTATAGGTCTATTACTTTTGAATGGATTTATACACGAATTTAATTAACACTTGAATTTGACATTTTCTTCAAATAGAAACGTGAAATAAAAATTTAATCAAAATTTGAATTACGTATTTAAATGAAATTCGAAAACCACATTTCAACTGAAATTTCAATTCGTTTTTTATTTACGTATTTAAATGAAATTCCGAAACCACATTTCAATTGAAATTTTAATTCAATTGAAATTATATTCGTTATCTTTTAAGTAAAATTTGAATTTAACTTTTTTTAAAATTTAATGCCAAATTGAATAAAAATGTAAACTCAATTTTTTTTAAAATTTTAACTAAATTAAAATTTTTCATTGTTTAAAATTCAAATTCGAGTTCGAAATTTTTGAAATTCAAATTCCAATTTAAATGAAAACACTTAATATTTATTGAGTACAATTTGTCATACGATGCGATACTGTAAAAATCCGAAATTTTTTAAATATCAATTTTCACTGGAAATCTTAAACACTCATACTCTTTTAAATCATAGCAGGAATATTAAATCTATATTATTAGTTTAGATCAAAGGATAATTAAATAAAGGTTATTTGAATTTTTTCATACTAAATCAAATTAAATTAGTAATAAAATTTCATCATAAATTAAATGAAAAATAAAAATACTTTAGTTTACTTAATATAAAGTTACAATCAGTAGAGATTTAAAAAACTTTGTCACATGGACAACTCAGCACCTAAACTCGTAGCTGGCTACCAATATTTTAGTAAAATTAAATCTTTCTCTTCTTTTTCCCCCCTTCTGTTATTAAGCTGAAAATTCAAATATTTTGGGGGGAAAGAAGGATATTCTGCGTTAATATTTTTCTTCAGAAATTTAAAGACACATTTCAAAATTATGCTAGTGCTCTTCGCTTGCAATAGTATGCATAAAAATTATTTTATATAATTTGATCGATTGATATATCTTTAGATAACATTGAAATAGAAATAATAACTATATATATATGGAATTGCCAAAAGCAGAGAACTGTTACGGTACTTTCAATTCCATAGTATGACTCCTAAAAATTGGTTCTCCAATTTGGTTTTCCAAAAATTGATTCCCCAAAATTACTTCATTTTTTCAATTTAGAATTTGTGAACGCTCCTAATTATGATTATAAATAAATTATGCAATATTCTGATTTGACATTTATTTAAAAAATTTAAGTGTTAAGTTTATTAATGAGCTATTAAATGTTTTTTTGAATAATGTATAAAATTAAAACATGAAATTATTACATTAAATTTATATATAAAATTAATCTGTAAAAATAACACATAAAATTAATAAATAAAATTAATTTATGAAAATAATATTTAGAATTAATATACAAAATTAATACACAAATTTCAAAAATGAAATTAATTTATAAAATTAATTTATAAAATTAATATTTAAAATTAATACAAAAAATAATTATATGAAATATAGAAAATTAATGTAGAAAATAAATACATAAAATTAATATTTAAAGTTAATATATAAAATTACTGCAGAATAATATTTAAGATTAATATATTAAATTACTGCATAAAATAATATTTAAAATTAATATTTAAAATTAATATATAAAATTAATGCATAAAATTATTATTTAAAATTAATAATAAAAATTAATACATAAAATTAATATTTAAAATTAATATATAAAATTAATGCATAAAATTATTATTCAAAATTAATAATAAAAATTAATACATAAAATTAATATTTAAAATTAATACATATAATTAATACATAAAATTAATATTTAAAATTAATATTTAAAATTAATATTTAAAATTAATACATAACATTAACATATGGAATTAATATATGAAATTAATATGTAGAATTCAGACATAAAATTAATACATAAAATTAATAAATAAAATCAATATGTTCTTATTCATCTATGATTTTTTTTTGCTATATACTTCTTAATATTAAAATAACATATTATAAGAAATAAATTATTTTAAATATTAAAAATATTAGTCTGAACAAAATTTAAAAGAAAAAAAATAAAATAATCACAAAGGAATCATTTTTAGAGCAGTTCGACACACTGTGTACATTGCAGAATCTTATCAATACAGGTTGCAATCAAGCGACATATTTGAAATTTCTGGCATGCAAGTCGATGTTTCATAGATTAGAAAACATTATTGATTTTAGAAGAAAGTGTGTTTACAGATTCGAAAAATCCTGTGAATGGGGGCAATAATTTAATATTTCATTCCAAGACAAGATAAAATAGATTTAAGAATTTTAATTGATTAGAATAGAGGTTAGATTTCAGGAACGCAATGAATTTGTAAATAAATACGTATTAAATGTTGAATAAAAATTGGGTGGAATAAAATTTTTCATTACTCAATATTGCGCAAACATTACTTTTTAAAACTTTATAATTTATTAAAAATGCCATATTGAATTTAGCTTTTTAGCTAGACATCATTTTAATTTTGATATTATAATAAAATAGAATACACATAAGATTGGTATGAATAGCTGTCTGGTTTGAATTTATCAAAAGCAAGTACATCTATCAAATTAAAAAGACTATAAACACTTTTTACATATATCATTTAAATTCTTTTTAACATTTTTAAAATGAACCTAGAAGGTTCACATATTTGATAAATTGTACTAGCACTATTTTATTGCTGAAAATTTATTTTATAGAATGAATCAACCTGAGTTCTTTTCCATATTCTGAATTTAAAATTTCGAAGTACACTGACATTAGCTATGACAATGAGGAGAGATAGCGTGTTATAAAATCAATTTCGTTGTTAATTGTTTTTGTATATAGTTATCAAAAAGTGATTAAAACAGTTTTCCTTCAAAAATTCAATTCATCTGCCTAGTACATATACTCTTTACCCTAGGAAAGCGTATAAGGAAGCTAGAGATTTATTTATTTTCTCAGTTAACGGTCATTAATCAAGTAAAATATGAATTAGCCAAATAAGCGAATAAAGAAATCAAAAATACTAATAACAATTACTCACTGCTTAGTATTATTTACTTAATATTTTTTTTAAACTAATAAGTTTTTTTAATAAACGCACAATTAAATAAATATCATTAAAATTTTATATTAATTTCTTGATAATAAGAAAAATTATTCAGATTTTTTGACGAAAATCAATAGAAACAGATGCAGAGAAATTTTTTAAAAAATTTATGAAAATTTTTGAAACTAATTTTAAAAAGTTACGACCTAATAATTTTTACTTTTTTTAAATGAAATTTCAAATTTTTTTTTCAATGAAACGTTTTTTTTAACGAAACTTTAAGTACCTGTGATTATTTAATCGATTAACCGAAAAAAAAAGATTATAATATTAATTATTAGTTTTTTGAAAACATTTCCGGCAATTAAATCGTAAAAATACTCTCTGGGGAAAATTTATTACTTTAACTTATGAATTAAATGATGCTCTCTCTAAAAAAAGAGGTGAAATAGCAAAAATGGTATGAAAAAGTGTAAAAAAAACTCAGGTGGCGCAATCGTTGCCTCATCTGACGTAAAACTCATAATGCAAAGTATACTGATAATTTTTTTAAAAAATAAATTAACATTCGGTGAAAAATCGTTAATTAATGGATTAAGCGATGATCCAAAGATTTTGTCCAAAGTAAAAATTGTTAAGTTTTAGTAAAATAAGGTAACTAAAAGAAAATCCAGTACATAAAATACTTAAAAAACATGCACTGACTGCTGCGACGAACACGACCTCACACAAAAATACTATCCATGCTTGAAGATTTCATAAAAAGAATACAATTGTGCTGGCAAAGCGAGGAGGATTTCATACATAATTGCAACCAATTAAATCAAATGAAAATCACTAAAAGTTTTTCAAAACAAGCTACATTTTATACTGATTTTAAATTTTCATGACAGAGTGCTTTTAGGTCCTTTTATATTATAATTAGATATGAATGTTTCTAGTTTTTAGATACATAGATATAGATATATAGATTTAGATATAGAATGTAATAGACACGAGATTTTAAAATATTTTCATTTAAATAGATGAGTGAGAACATAAATAATGTATGTGATAAGCAATTTTTATTTATTTATTTTAAGAATCGCGAGATGTCTCTGCAATTTTTTCCAGACATTAAACCAAAACAGCTTAGCAAATCAATTTTTATCCAACATTTTATCTCCAAACGACTGTTTCCAAACGATATAAAATGAACCAACGAACCTCTTTCTATCCATTTTTCTTCTAACACAATATACGCAACCTTTCTTGTTTCACTAACAAGCAAGAATACTCGCTGAGAAAAAATCGATAAATCGCCAACTGAATTTCGCCAAGGTCGAGAAACTCACTTTCGTCTGACTAGAGTGCTTTCCCGTCTGTTCCTCAACGTGGAGCCGAATGCCGGGTGTGACGTCACATGCGGCAACGCCTTCTCAAGATCCAATTGTCGGTCTCGGGTCAATACAGCTGTACGAATTAATATCAAAGAATTTCCTCACTTTTCCAGAAATTTCGAATCTACTATATATATGAGGGATGGACAAAGTGATGCTCATAATTAGTTCGAAAGCATCTTTCTGACTGCTCTCTTTAATCCTGCATTTATTTTGAGCTCTACCTAGCTCAGCAATACTTTTGATCAATTTTGACCTTCACATTTGCTGTCTATTGATTTTGGGTAAATATTTATCGAAATATTGAATGCTTACATTTAATATTATTGCATTTGACATGATTACATTTAATATTATTGCATGAATATCCTAACTACGTGTGATATTTGCATTCCATATGTCTTTTGCTAAGTTAACATTTTATTACCAATTTTCGTATCTATCTTAAGCACCCTGATTTATTATTACATAATATTATCAAATTATAAATATTCAGACGTAATTATTGCAAAATATAATATTTATTGCGTTTGAATATATGTTAACTTATACAATTACTGTGTCGTATTTTTTGCAATTGATACAAAATAGTTATCACAAAATTGCAATTACATTTATTATGTGCAATATAATATTATCAAATTATAAATATTCAGACGTAATTATCGGAAAATATAATATATATTGCGTTTGAATATATGTTAACTTATACAATTACTGTGTCGCCTTTTTTGCAATTGATACAAAACAGTTATCACAAAATTGCAATTACATTTATTATGTGCAATATAATATTATCAAATTATAAATAGTCAGACATAATTATTGGAAAATATAATATTTATTGCGTTTGAATGTATGTTAACTTATACAATTACTGTGCTGCATTTTTTTGCAATTGAAACAAAATAGCAATTACATTTAATGTCTGCAATATAATATTATCAAATTATAAATATTAAGACGTAATTATTGGAAAATATAATATTTATTGCAATTAATTCAGAGTATTTATTATAATTAATACTTAACACTAATAATGTTCACTTAAATAATTTTATGGTAATTATTTTGTATTCTCAAGAATACAAAATAATTACCATAAAATTATTTAAGTATTATTTTACATAATTAAGAAAAGTTGATTGTAAAATATAACTCACGGTGAAAAATAAAAATTTTTAAAAATATAAAATAGAATACAGTCTCATTAATACGTATAAAAAAAGCAATTATTTTGATATATTTATGAAGCCATAATATTTCCTCTGTCTTGACCTTGGCATAATTATTCAGATATATTTCTACTTCAGGACGTAATATATTATGTAATGTTACCTCTAATATTATGTAACGTTATTTAAATCTACATAATTTTAAGATAAAACAACGATATCACGTTTATTAATTTCCTTACTTTCCTTTATGATCTTAAGATGACGTTAATCAAGAAGTTTTATTCGATATAACTTTAACAACTGTAAAATAAGGATTAATTTTTAAAATATTTGTCATAATATATTTTCTTTATTATATCACGCTGCTTTTAAGTTTTTCTTAATCGGTAAATAAGCTAAGAAAAAATATAAGGTATAAACTGCAAATGATATTTATTTTATAATACATTTAATACATTTTAGAATATTGTGTTAATATTATAACATTTTAGAATATTGTGTTAGCATAATACATTTTTAGAATATTTTTGTTTAAAATGATGTCAAGAATACACATAAATTATGGGTCAAAAATTAGTATTCAGATGAGAAAAAAGCAAAAAATGATTTCGAAATTGACGAATCGCTTGTGAAGAAAGTGGTACAAAAAATATAAAGACTAGCTAGATTGAATGGCAAAAGACGATTATTAGAAACACTCTCAAGCTTATTCAGGCAATCAAACTGATTTTGATGTATTTTAAATCCAGCTTTCTTACTGGTGATTCGTCAGATTTTTGTATAGCTTTGGTTTTTTCAACTCTTCAACATCAATTTGCGACCCTTAAAGTGTATTTACTTTTTCGGATAAATATTTTAATTATTTTCACTATTAATTTTATTAATTTTTATTTATTTAATTCAATTAATCACTTAATTTTTAATTATTTTTCCAGTAGCATTTAGATTAACTAATTATTATTTATTACAGATTTGTGATTCGAGTTATCATTTGCTGAAAAAGAATTACAATTGATTGTATTCAATTTCTGATTTAAAACAAATTGAAATTTTTCTCTGAGCAACTATTTTGCATTGAAAATTTTTTGCACTTGATTCGAAGCATGGCCAATATGGAGGTACAAGTACAGAGCCCTAACACTCGCTACAAAGAAAAGTATATTGAAGCCGACTACAAATACGATTCTACCATTGTTAAAAAAGAACAAGGTATATTGAAGGTAAGCTAATCATATTACACTTTTCTTTTTATATTTAAAATTATAGAGCTAAGAAGAATTGTAGAAGCTAAAATTAATTAAAGATTTTGTGAAATCGTTAATGACTGCAAAAACTAGGCAAAGAGGATTTACAAAACTATTTATGCATAATATTTAGTAAGATTTTTTTTCTCAAGTAATAGTTCTTTACAAATATTTATTATTTTGTCCATAAACCATAGCCATAATAACTATGATAAGCTAATTTTAGACATCGTTTCATCTAAAAATAATATCCAAAATAGCTATGAGTATCTAATTTAATGTATAGTTTTATTTATAAACAATATCCATAATAACTGAGTAGCTAATTTAATAGATAGTTTTATCTATAAACAATATCCATAATAACTATAAGAAGCTCATTTAATACATCGTTTTATCAATAAACATTATCCATAACAACTATGAGTAGATAATTTAATACATAGCTTGATCTATAAATAATATCCATAGTAATTCTGAGTAGCTAATTTATACACCCTTTTATCTATTAACTATATCCATAATAACAATGAGTAGCTGACTTAATATCTTAATTAGCTACTCATAATAATTTTTAATAACATAGAAATCAATTAAAATAATAAGAAATCTCGTAGATCAAGCAACGAGCAAAACTTGTATTTATGGATGACATGTTGAGTAAACTAATCTGCATTTGCTTTACGCGACGAAGAATACCACGAAAATCTTTGCCTGCTCATGATTCTTGTTTTACATTTACGTCAGGACAGTACAAGAGGGAGTTATGTGAATATATAGCCAGGGTTTGAACCTGGCTAGCCTCATCAACTAATTCATTTATTTATCAACTTATTAATAATTAATCTGGCTCAAGTCAAATATAAAGCAAATAAAACTAATAGATAATACTTCTTTGCTTATAATACTTCTTTGCTTATAATAGCGAAAGTTAAAAATAAAAATAGAGTTATATAACAAATGAAATATTTACAGTTTATTTCATAATTAAATTTGTTTCTGCAAAGATAAATTGAAAGATTTTACCTTTAACTCAGAAAAATACACCCCAGTGTTTCATGCTTTATTATTTGCAAATGTATTTACTGTGTATATATATCAATTATTAAAATGCTAAATATAATATTTTTCACTTATTTTTACTTAAATTAAATACGAAATAATGGAAAAAAGTATGAAAGATATGTTTAATAAAATTTCTGCTTCAAAAGCGGTAAAATTCTTTCGGCACTTTAATATTTTTCAATAATTAATTGATAAATAATTTCTTAATACTGCAAAAAACTTTATAGACGAACATATTTTTATCAAATAAATCATTTTCTAGCCATGACATTAAATTACTGATTGGCAATAAATAAATAAAGTGCATCTTTTTTTTTCAAAATATTTTTGAAAAAAACATAGAATTAAGTTAAAAATATTGTTGGCTATCAATGTCTATTAAATCAATTAGTTGATTATCAAAATATAAGTATCTATTATCTGTTTCGTTTATATTACAGTTACGGATACAGAATTATTTGATAAATAAAATTTCATTGCTACTTTCAATTTCATGATAATGTTACTAAAATAGTTTTTACAACTACAATCTCTCTCAGCTACGATATAAATAGAAATAAATATGCATGAATGATACGTTGGAAGCGAAAGTATAATTGGAGTTATGCCAAATTGTGACGTTTATTATACGTGTCTTTTTTCAGGTTATTCCAAGGACTACACGAATCCAGTTCCGAACATCCAGACATGTGCCGAAGTTGGGAGTGATGTTAGTCGGATGGGGTGGAAATAACGGCTCAACTGTAACCGCTTCCATCCTTGCAAATAAACACAACATCACGTGGCGCACTAAGGATGGAGTGCAAGTAAGTTTTTAAAGCTATGCTTACATTGCTACACTCAGCCTGCTACACCATCCTCTCTCTCAAGACAAATCGGGACATTCCCCCTGAATTAAAAGTTAAAAGGCTATATCCCTCTAAACATTAAAAAAAAATATATATTTTTTTTAAAAATAATATTACAATTATTTTAAAAACAAGAACACAAAGAAAATTTCTATGATCATCGCTATCATCAAACGATTAACTAATATTTTTTTAAATAAATAGTTAATTATAACAATTAACATTATTAATTACAATTAATTATTAATTACAATTTATTATTATTAATTACAATTAATTATTATTAATTACAATTAATTGTTATTATTAATGCTAGATTGTAATTAATTATACTTAATTATTTAGGGTTCATTAAAAATATAATTTATAATTAATTATTTAATTAACTATTTTATCGTTATTAATATTCTATAAAATATCAGCGTAAAACATATTCAAAAGACAAAACTAATATCGTAGAAAAACAATCGGTTGGAATGGCGTGACAGATGGGCTGTTTAGAAAGTGGGAGCAGTGGCGTGCAAGCTGTGTAGATGCCAGAGGGGCCGTTGCCTCCATATGCTCCCTTGCACGCCACTGGAATATTCGAATCATATGTTTCAATTTCATTGTAAACTATGATTTAAACAGGGGGGGGGGTGATATTTTACAGAGCTCATATTGTTATTTTAGCAGCCACGTCAAAGTGCCCAAAAATACTTTTAGAAACGACTTTACCATGCCTTCTTGGCTGTAAACTCATTTATATTTGAACACTTATATCATTGATATTATCTTATTATAAGTAATATTTATTAACTCAATATGACCCTCTTAATATAAGCAGCCCTCTTAATAAAATTTCGAAATCACTGCGAAATATTTATGAAGTACGGCATAAATGATTTTGAAAATGCCTTAACAATTAGGAAATGCTAACTATGATGCAATATTAATTTGTATAGATTATACAACGAGAAGTTTAACAGTTTTTATTTGAAAGTTAATCATATATAGCCTTATTAAATGCCTAGTTAGATAAATGAAATTTCCAAATTATTCAAGAAAATATATAGACAATAATAATCCAGTATTTTTGACTTAAATGTCATTTCGGATATGTTACATATTATGTCGAAAATATTCGTTTATAATTAAAAAATATGCTAACAATGATCTTATCTTAAATTTTATGGATTATTTAACGTTAACTTAAAGTTAAAATTTCAAATGAGATAATCTTGCACAGCTTTTAATTCACAATTAATAAACATAATTAATCGTGCATAGCCTTCATTGATTCTATATCCTAATTACTCTAGAATATTTTATAGTATTATATTAATGCTGAATTCATTCATTTTACCTTTAATTCTGAAAATACTTAAAGAATTACAGATAGAAAAGATCCTGTTTTAAGTTGAATGGATTGTACTAGACTTACCCAAGTTGACTATTAAGTTATACAACTCAAGATAATTAAATACATCCTTAAAAGTTTCATTCAATATCAGAATTACTACAAAATAATGAAAGATATTTTATATTGATCCCTTTTTAAATATCGCTATTATTATTTAGGTCTGTCTTGGTTTCTTAAGATTTAAATCTAGGACTAAAAAGTAATCAAGACCCTTTCTCCGTACCAAAATGTCTTTATAAAATAAAACGAACAACTAAATTTTTCTGGAGACTTAATACACTCACTGGTTACAGTTATTTTGCCTCGAATTATTATGCAAATAAAAAATTTGACTAAATAAATCACTAAGCTTTAAATTTTTGATCGATTTCTAAGATTATTGTTAATTTTGTCCCAGGATTTAAATTTCAAGACCCTACTGTTGAAAGCGATGAACTAGATCCTAAATTAAAAGCGATGAACTAGATAATTTTTTTTTTGAAAACGATAATAAATTAAACAGTGATCTAGTTTCGACATAGTTACGATGGGTGATCTAGTTACGCCACTGATAGTTTCAGTTTGTGTTCTTTGGCATGTTATTCTTTGTTTTTCTTTGTTATGTTTAAAATAATAAAACGTAGTGAAGTTTAATAACGCTGTTTTTCTTTCTAAAATAGAGTTGTGTTACAGTTCTAGTTTCGTGTTTTAACACCTACCACAAACGGTTCAGAATTTATAAGAGAGAGAGAGAGATCTAACTATTCCTTTTATTATTATAGGTAAGCCATGTAAAGTATCGATATTAAAAACATTTTCTTTAATCTAATTTCAGAAACCAAATTACTACGGATCTTTGATACAAGCTGGAACAACATGCTTGGGCACTTCTGATACATCGGGAGAAGTGTACATTCCATTCAAAGGCATGCTTCCATTAGTAAATCCTAATGACATAGTTCTCGGAGGTTGGGACATCTCCTCCATGAACTTGGCTGAAAGCATGGAACGAGCCAAAGTCTTGGACTATGACTTACAGAGGCAACTAAAGCCAATGATGGAGGGCATGAAGCCTTTAGCTGGTATTTATGACAAGGACTTCATTGCTGCTAATCAAGAAATGAGAGCAGACAATGTTATTACTGGAACAAAATGGCAACAAGTTGAAAAGGTAAATAAATTTAAATTTTTTATGTGTTATACACAAGGCGTAATTTTTTCTTCATTTTATGACGTGGCAAAGTTAACCTATGTTACAGACAAAACAATTATCATCCTCAAGTCTGTTTAAAATCAAAACAAACCGCTTTCCACACGCATATAGGTATTGAGATATTTTTCTCTATCCTTGTACTCGTGATAACTCGTGAGAACTCGTGACTGAACTAAACCCGCGAGACCTCTATCCTGGCTACTAAGTTTAAGGCTCAATGATAACAGAACTCTTAAGAATCAGGATTAATGCTGGGTGATTCGTAAAGACCGCCTTTAATGTTTATTTTTAGAATCCTTTTAAAAAATTTGTATACACATTCGGGAGCAGCTAATAAATATTTCAGCTAGCAAAAGATAAAAATGCTATAAAAACCGGACAAATCATTTTTAAGGAAGCCCGTAGCCTCCCAATGAAGTGCCCCAAGTTCGATCCCAGCAGTGGCTTGTTGTTACAAATTCTGCTTCCCGCTCGCAAGGACCACAGTGCTGACGTAAAATATCCTTAGTGGTAGATGAATTATGAGTTAGATTTCCCTTGCAGTCAGGTTAACCGTAGGATGGTCTTCTCTCCATGTAACGCTAATGCGAGTTAGTTCTGTGAAAAACACCTCTACAATGGTTCCTCCAGGAGTTTCTTTATCTTATGGAATGAGTTTAAAATTACAAGGCTATGGAACTGAACATTGATAATCGTTAACTCAGAATTGAGTCAGCTATTTAACGCCGTTTATAAAATAATATCAAATAAAATTGCATCGCAGCATAAAGATACACTTATTTTGTGTTTAAGTCATTAACATGTAAGAAAAGCGAGTGATCAGACAAATTTGCAGTTATTCTACTCTGCTTAAATTCATATATAATGTTTTCTCTTACTAGAATAACGTTTCTCTTCTTCCCTTAGATACGCAAGGACATTCGAGAGTTCAAAGAGAAGAACAAACTCGGTAAAGTTATTGTCCTGTGGACTGCCAACACTGAGAGATTCTGTGATATTAGAGCCGGTTTGAATGACACGGCTGATAACCTTTTGAAATCTATCAAAGAAAATGCTTCGGAAGTATTACCTTCCTCTTTGTATGCCGTTGCCAGCATACTTGAAGAAGTAAGTTTTGCTTTTTTCATATCATTTTGTTTAGTTTTTGCTGTCTCCGTGAACTGACGGAATACACGAAAATGTTTTATATTAACGAACGGAACGAAATAATTTATTGCAACTTTTATTAACTGATGCTTTTGTGTTCACAGCGTGGAACGTCAGTTATACTATCTCATCACCCAAATATTAATTTACAAATTTTGAAATTGTCCAATTTTTAAAAATTTCATTTGTCTTTTCATAAAAGTTCTAAGCAAGTTGCACATATCTTCATATTTCTCGCACTCTAACTACTGGTGACGTTGTCTTATGTATATCTACATTACGACTTTAGCTGATGATATCATTTATAATTTGTTTTCCTATGTATGTTGCGATTTTTACTGGTGATAGAATTATATAATTGTATCACCATATTTTTACCACTCTAACTAATGATACGTTGTCATGTGTATATCTACAATACGATTTTTGCTGATGATATAATTTAGAATTTGTTTTCGTAATTGTATCACCATATTTCTACCAGTATAACTATGACGTTCTCCTATGTATACAATATGATTTTTTGCCGATGATATAATTTATAATTTGTTTTCGCAATTATATCACCATATTTCTGTCAGTCTAACTATTTATGACGTTCTCCTATTTATACAATACGAGTTTTGCTGGTGATATAATTTATAATTTCTTTTCGTATATATGTTGCGATTTTTACCGGTGATACAATTATATAATCTGTTTTGCGTTTCTAAGTTACATCTCTTACTAATAATAAAATGCATAATCCAGATTATTTATATTTAATGCTATTTTTTATGCTTTACTATTTTTTTTTAATTATTGGATTTTAAGTTCTACAAACCTTGCTGTCTTAGCACTGGTTATAGTTTATTCTGGCTGTTCCGTAATTACCGCCCTTATTAAATATTTTAAAATGTTTGTCAGAAATAATTTAAGGAAAATATACACTTCAGGAAAAACAAAAGCGCTATTTGAGATATTGCTGCATCACACTTAAAGAATCAATATCAGGAAATTAGTCAAATCAATTTAAAAGTTGAAATGTCAATGCGGTTAAAATAAATGCAACTAAGAAAACTAATTTGACTTGAACAAGAAAGTTTGCATCTAAAATCTATGAAACATAGTTGATAAAGTTAAGCTGTAGAAATTTCGGCGCAAGTGTGTTGCCTCAACACCACTCTATTGATGTCTAATGAACCGTTACTCACGAAAATAGGACTATAAACACCAAAGCTTGTTTAATTGCTGGGAGACACAAGACTTTAAAGTTGATTATTAAAAACACTTCAAAGATCCATCTTGCATTCAACCTGGTTATCATCCAATATTGCCTTCTTCTCTAGTTACCCTTTTCATATTGATGGCGTTTTTGTTAGCTTTTTTCCCCCACGATTTAATATTAATTTAAAGCCTGAAATGTGTGTACTTTTGGCATCATTTTTGATAATTGTAAAAATATATATAATGGGCGATGATTACGGAACACCCTGTTTACATAACTCCACACATTTTTTAAGGTTCGCAACTAGACAAGATTCAAAAGCTGTATAACTTATGTAATTGCAATGTATATTTATAAAACTATATTTGACCATTGTTTTTTGTTGAGTGGACTGTGTTTTCATTTAAAACATTATAGTCATAAACTTAGATTAACTTTATAATTTTCATAATTTATTACAGTGTGCCTACATAAATGGTTCTCCACAAAATACCTTTGTTCCCGGACTTATTGAGTTAGCGGAAAAATACAACGTCATGATTGGAGGAGATGATTTCAAATCTGGCCAAACAAAATTCAAGAGTGTGTTGGTTGACTTCCTGATTGGTGCTGGAATCAAACCAGTGTCTCTCGTCAGCTATAATCACCTTGGCAACAATGATGGTAAAAATCTATCTGCTCCTCAGCAGTTCAGGTCAAAGGAAATATCAAAAAGCAATGTGGTGGATGACATGGTGGCTTCAAATTCTGTCCTCTATGCTCCTGGTGAAAAGCCTGATCATTGTGTAAGTTCTATATTTTTTTACTTATTTAATTTTGAATTATTTCTTATCAATCCAACTGAAGGAAGGGTTAATTCTGAGCTATGTGTAAAGCTCAACTACGTGAAAAATAATACCACGTGAACATACCATAGCTTCGGTTCTATTATGCAAAATCTTCTTCTGTATTGAAACAAGGAACAGAAAAGTTAAGCACTTAGATGATGAAGAAAATAGACACCCAAAAACAGGATGGATTGACCAGTGGGATAGGGGGAACTATATGGAACCAGGTAATTAAACAAGAAAAGAATTTTTAAAAAAATGTTGAAAGGTTGGTATATTAATCCTAGATGTTGCAAGATAATAAATATCTTAATAATAAGAAAGAATGGGAATCTAGAAGGGCCATTAACATTTAATATTTTTCAAAATATGAAATGCTTTTCAGAAGCATATGTAAAGTTTCCGGAAAATTTGCCAATGAACAAGGCTTTTTATTATGTATAGAATATAAAGTTATCTATAGAATAAACTCTTTTTATTATCAAACGAAAGCTATAGTATGTCTGTAAATGTTATATTATATGTGCTCTCTTCTACGTTGCTTAGCTAAATATCACTACTTTATCTTTGCTGAAAGAAATAAATCAGGGGAAAAAATATAAAAAAAGGAGTAATTTATAAATATTTTCTGAAAAAAAATAAGTCTGGATGTCAAAACAATTTAGATCTTCTCGTATATTCGATAGATTTTGCACTTTTGCATTGTTAGTATCCCTCACCTTCACGTATGTAATTTGTGCCCAGTTCACAACAAATTTAGTACAGAGCAACTTCATTTATCTGCGAAGCTACGTTCGTGAACATGCGGGATGCTATATGAAAATGCTAGATCGTTTTAGTTCTGACTGTACTTAATATTCATTAATGCATTTTCAAGAATGTCTTATACTTAATAGTATAAGACAGTGGAAAGTTATTTGAAGACTCAAAAAACTTTTTATTTTCAGGTTGTAATAAAATATGTACCATATGTCGGTGACAGCAAGCGTGCTCTTGATGAATACACTTCAGAGATAATGATGAATGGTAAGAATACAATCGTGGTGCACAACACCTGTGAAGATTCTCTCCTGGCATCACCTCTTATTCTGGATCTCGTCGTCCTCACTGAACTTTGCCAGCGAATCTCCTTCCGTATCCTGCGCAGCTCAGAGACGGCCTTCCAGCCATTCAATTCTGTCCTTTCCATTCTCAGCTACCTCTGCAAAGCTCCTTTGGTACCAAGAGGAGCACCAGTTGTGAATGCCTTGGCCAGGCAGAGAGTCTGCATCGAGAACCTCTTCAGAGGTTGCTTAGGTTTGCCTCCTATCAATCATCTGGACATCGAGCACAAACTGAGTGATCCTTCTGTTTGGTGCACAGAGCAGCCGGACAAGGTTGTGCAACCTGTGGAACCAGTGAAATTGAATTCTCTTCTGAAGACAAAGCACGATGCATTCCTGTCTAGTCGTCTTGGAGAAGAAATTGTCATGAATGGTGTTCATTAGCATTTAGCTTTCATATATTTGGTTAAGAAGAGTTGTAAATATGTATGTGCCGGTGATATAAACGTCAGAGCTTTGAAATATGCTGCAATCAAATTATTCGGTAACTTTTAATGTTGATATTTTTAAACAAAATTTTAAAAAGAAAATTGTTAGAGAAGGAAATATTTTTCTCTGTACTGGACTGGCGTGAGAATATTCTTGGGAACAAAGAGACATTATTTAAAAAAATCATTCATTCTAAGTAAATCAATTACAAGTGGAAAATTGTTAGAAAACTACGGAAAACTTCAATTTTTTGTTCCGTCATTTTTTAAAGGCTAAGGAATGAATCTTTTTTTGTACACTGTCCAAAATCTCTTTTTTTTTTAGTAATTTAATTAAAATTAGTTTTTACAGAAACTCATGTAGAATCTAATTGTTAAATTCAGTGCAATTCTGAGAGCATTTGTACTTATTTTAGTGTTAAGAAGAAACGTAACTTATTGAGTTTTGTTCTTACTTACTGCACGTTGGACCTTGTTTTTTTTGTTGTTTTTTTTCGTTTCGTAATTTGTTTTTCCTATTTCAGCATTGAAAAAAATTTTTATGCGAAATCGTTTCAGTGCGTGTGTAATATCATAAGTATATAATCGATATGATTTATCATAAACCCTTGTGCAATATCATAAGCCCCGTTTCATTACCATTGTAGTAAACTCTCTTGGCAATATATTCATAGAATTTGTTTTCATCATTCTGTTTGTATTATGTTAATCACGTATCACCAAAGATGAAAAAAATTCCTTTCATTTTAAATAAAGTTTTGTTCTATTTTAAATTTCTGTGTCTTTCTTTTTATAAAAGTAATGTAAATTTGTTTTTCTACGTTATGTATACAAAAACAATGACACTATAAGAATAATCTCTATTTTTTCTTTGCTTTCTTTTTAAGTTTTCACAGAATTTATAAAACAATTTTCAGATAATGTAAAAAAAATATGTTTCTAGCGCTTTTCATTATGGTCACCTCGCATATTTTATTTTATAACCGTCGTTGAACAGCTGACCCAATTTTTTGGGTTTACGACTGCTAATATTCAACTCGGTAGTCTTGTAGTTTTGAACCCTATCCAGAAGACAAGCGAATTCTTGGATCAAGTGTTGGGAGAAATTTACCTGCGTGGAGGACGTTTTGATGGAACTAAACCGCTTTTGCGTTACATGGAGGGGAAAACCTCCCAATGTTTTAGAATCTATGTCAAAAATAAAGTCCAAAAAATACGCAAGTAATATCCAACCAAGGAAAAACATAAATCGCGATAGAAATATTAACGAATCACAATCCAGGAAGACGGGATTAAAAGCATCAAAACTAGCTTGATGCTGGAGAGTGTCTTGAAAATAGAGAACTACTCATCTTTTCCTTTTATGACTTATAGAAATTTACAATTAACCGAGGCTATAGCTATAACGTAAATATTTGTTGCAACTTTGTTCTAAATCTAAACAAATCCGATTTTGAAGAGTACTTATCTTCCTTGCGCAAAGAAACAAGAGCTCATTACTTAACAGAACCGGTTGAGTCTTTTTCCTGGCTTCAAGTAACAAATATATCTTAAGGCACTTATTTTCATAGGAAATAAAGCAATTAAAGAGTTGATTAACTAAGCGTTAAGTTCATCACGAGTCGTCCATTTGAAAAGTATTAGAAACCCCTCTAACATTCATCAGGCATCCAAACTTAGTTTTAAGTGTTACGTCCACCGACCTTCCCAATATCTTCCATTTCATGTGTTACTTTCTAAAGAATAATTCATGTTTAACATCTAAATATAACTCGGACAAGAGGAAAAATGTAACTACTTACATCATTATGTCTGAGAAATATATCCATGTAACTTGAATCTTTATACAATTCAAAATTTGCTGCACTCAAATTCTACCAACATAGAAATTGACTTCGAAAAATTATACGAAAGTTGTTTATTTATTCGTTAATTATTTAATATTTTTGAGTATTTTTAAATTTATTTCATGCCTAAAAATGTATTTCATTGAACCTAATTAACAAGTTTTACTTTTCATGGTTGTAAGTACTTTTCAAACATAGAAAAAAAAGTTTTAAAAATACTTACAGCCCTAAAATTAAAAATTTAGTTAACTAAATGAAATGAAGTATATATGTGGACAAAATTTAACAAAAATGTTCAAAACTACTACTTAGTTGCATAATAAATTGCGTTCCTCTAATTATCCATAGATTAACATGGTAGAAGATTCTATGTATTGAGACAACTTCACTTCAACTGACGATCAAGCTCACACAATTTCTTATCAAATGTTAAATACTTACAATAACTTTAAAATCTCTAAACAAAGACAAAATATGGGAAAAATTAATTCTGTTTAATAAAGCGGTACACACAACCACTACATTAAGCTTAATATTTGTAGCAAGATTTCACCTAAAAATTATTTTAATAAACAAATTTTGGTTAAAATTAACAGCCAACAAAACTATTTCAGTAATACAGAAACTTTCAAGCTAATGATACTATTTTTAAACCTTATCGGACAATTTTGAGCAAGTCACAGAGATATTGTAATTGGATTATAAATCATTAATAATTAGCAAATCAATTTACAAATGTAATTCACAGATCGTAACCTGAAGTCTAAAGTCTCCACATAATTGAGATAAATTTAATTTGTTTAATTTTTCCATCACTAAAATATTTCACTGTGAATCCCATATATTTGTTTTATTTTTTCATACATAGTGGTGGTCAAAATCGTAGTAAATCAAATTTATTAAATCGAGAAAAAATAGTAGAGCATAAAATTTACTACCATTGCAAATATTCAAGAAAAATCTACCATAGAAACGGCATAAGTTGGCGTGTACGATAAGTGTATTAAACATATATTCTTACATGAAGGAATAAATACTTTTTGAAAGAAGTTTGATTTCTACAATATTTTAAAAACGAATGGAAAATTGCATGCTAGTCTTTTTGCTGTCTGCGTGTCAATAGATGGCAGCACTGAAATTTACACTATAAAATGCGGAAAGTGAATTCTCGCATTATATTTATTCAATAATAATAGAAGAATTACTAATTCATTACTTAATAAGGAAATAAATAGTGCCATTAAGAAATAAAATATGAAAATTAAAAAATTCTTAAGCAAAAATAGGGATGATCAATTATTCAATTACTTAATTATTACCTTAATTGAGAAATTGACATGCTTATAATAATAACTTGAAATATTTTTTCACACGCTAGTTATATAAACAGTAGGAATAAATTATTTAAATTAAGCATAAATAAATTTGACTCAACAATTTCAAGAGATTTTACTTACATTAAATTTTGCCTTACTGCTAAAATTCAACATGGACAGAAAGTTGTTCATTCTGAAATATTTAGATTACAATAAACATCAAAAATTAGTAAATTAACTGACTAAAATAATCATTAATTATTGAATTGGATTATTAAAGGAAATATAAAGCTAATTTCATAGATTTTTATTAAAAATATGTTGGAAGTTTTAAGATGCGTATTAATGATATAAACAACAGAAGCACATAATCAGTTAAAGTTTTTTGTAATTATTTCGCTTTTTATTACATATTTTTTGAAAACTCACACCTTTTCTTCCTAATAACACACAAGATGAATTTTTTTTTTGTCTATTTATTTATTTTCATTGTTTTAACAACGATTTAACTCATATTTCTGCTAATTTTGAAAGTTGGGTTCTTAAATCAGATAATACCAAATAATTTTGGTAATATAGTGTCGCCATCTATTTTTTTAAATAGGAATGTTTTTTCTACGAAATTTTTCATGGATTTGTATCTTCCACTACAACTTTCATCTTTGTTAGCGGAAAAGAGCAGGAGTGGCCTAAATTTGAGAAAATCAAGTTTTAAAACATTAAAAATAAATGCCTTATAATATTAAGAAAAATATTGATGATATCAATAATTCTTTAATATTTTTAATCGTAAATAAAAGAAAACAGTTTAAATATATTATTCACTAATTACAATAAATTTTATATCGTACATGAAGAAGGTATGTCCCCTTTCATTGAATTTATGTTTATGTTTCATTTTTGAATAAAGTAAAATATTGTTACATTGATTGGGTATTGCGTGGGTAAATACATAAAAAAGAAGAAAAAGAAATCTCGAATACTTTTCGATTTATCAGATTTTCATATATATAAGTAAAATTTTCCCGTTTTATAAATTTAGGATAATGGGTTTAATTCTCTAAAATTACAGAATTAATGATCAGTACATAAAAAACAACTAAATATAACAATATTGATAACAACTACAATAGTTATAATTATTAGAATAATAAAAAACTATCGAATCATTGATGAATAGATTTTTCTTTACCGGGAGAATTAAAACATTTAAATCCTTGTCAGTGATAGGATATTATTGAATGATCAAATGACATAATCGAATATTTTTTTCATTCGTCTTAGCTTTTCTAACGCAATTTTACCGAAAAACTTACAGCTGTAAATGCAAATTTGTGTAGTTGTTCAAATAAAATACGTTTAGCTGCATGACATTCAGTTTATATAACTGTCAATAGAAATTACATCTTGACTTAAAATCAATCCTATGTTTATTGATTTTCGAAACAAAAGTTATTTATTTGTGTATAAAATTGTATCATGGCTAGTACTTAAAATTAGTCCCTTGCTTACATATTTTCTAAACATAAGTATTATTTTAATTGTGTATAAAATAAATTTCGCTGTTTAGATTGCAAATATAGCAATAGATACTCAAACAAACATCATTTCAGATTTTAATCGCATTTTTTGATAAAAAGGAGATTTTATTAATCATAATAAAATTTTATGAAAAGCACAGTTAATGATTTTTAATCATAAAAGCTATAACTACTGTATATGCCCCTAAACTAAACGATTATTTAAAAAATCAATTAAAATTTTAAAAAAAATATATGGAAGGTGCATTGTACGGTCAGTTGCGTTCTGCTACATAATTAACCTCACCAAGTTTGAAAACTAGTTTATAGGTTAATCAACATATGGCAATATCTAGTAAGAGGAGTAACACAGCAATATTTTCAAAATAATCACCAATTTCAAAAACAGCGTGGTACAGTCTGATGACAAAAATAACATACTCTGCACGAATATTTTCAGTTGGCTATGAGCTATGAGCTATGAATATATAACATCTCGGCATATTGGCGCGAAGCGCCACTCACCGATTCATCGGAATTGTGTTGGCATAAGTTGGAAGTCATAATTAAATCAAACAAATTAAATAAAAGGAGAAGTTGGAGAAAACTCCATTGTCAAGAACATCTAATAAAGAGTAATGCACATAATGACGAGCACGAGTAAATTGAAATCAATACATTGGACTATTTACAACAAATAATTATTTACATGTATATACAGGGTTAGAATATGAATATAATTAGTTGATATGTACATAATTAGTATACCTCTGTTATTATAGTGACCCGGCCGTCCCGGTTAAAACCGCTCGTGCCGGGTTGCTCACTATTCTGAAATTAACGACAGTGTACCTCCCCCGGATCGGACCCTCGTAAGGGTTGCTCCTTCACCGAGGTTGTTACATGATACATACATATTGTTACATATTGTTACATATTGTTGTTACATATTTTGATATTAGGCAGTCTGAGGTTAGGAATGCTGTGAGTGGACTGATGTTATCCCTGATAATTTCCATGTCAAAAATTTTGTTGAAGTTAGCAGCGTTGCAATCTTTCGCTTCCTTGTAAAATTTAGTGTTAATTTTCG